AAGTGTTTGTCCTTTTAAATGACACAACTTATGTCATTTTACTCTCACAAAGAGGTGAGATCTACGCCTTTATATTTTTTTGTCAACTCTCTCCTCCTTTATGTATCTCTTTCTCTCATTTAAATTGACATAATTTTACATCCTTTAAAATAATACTCATTTTTTCTACATATATAATAGACTCTAGAAAAGAAATCTTGAAATTTCAAAAGTTGGTGTTAGGATTGGGCATGGCATGGCATGGCCCATGCCACTTAGGTTGGGCTTGTGCTGTGTGAACAACAGAAATTCAAATAGTTGGAAGGGTTGCGTGGCAAGGAGTAGTTGGGAGGGCCAAGACAACGTTACGGCTTCTGAAATATTACTAGAAAGAAGTTCTGTTGATTACAACAATCACATTAACTAAGGAGGCTAAGCAAATTTTTACTAAAATAAAAAAAAGGAGGCTAAGCAATTTATTAACCCCATCGTTAGTAAGCCGCCTTTGGATGGTTTTTCTAGAGATGGGAACTTTAGGGATTCACATAATAGTTATGTGCCTAATTTGTAGAGACCACTTTTGAGAAAGAATGTAGCTGGATATATATATATATATATATATATATATATAGTGTGTTTATAAGAGTTATGTTGTAGAAAATATATATATATATATATATATAGTGTGTTTTATAAGAGTTATGTTGTAGAAAAAATGATTGTGTAATGTTATAGAGATTCGTTTTGTGTGCCGTAATTTCTTTTTTTTTTTCAAAAAGTGTGGGTCCCACAAAATATTGTGTCTGTAGGAAAATTTGTTGTGTCGTGTTAAATGACAAATGCAAACCCCATATATATATATATATATATATATATAGGTAGGTAGGATCCTTTGACACCAGTGTCAAATTTAAAATTTGACACTTCATCTGAGAGCCATTAGATCAAAAAAGATCAACAACTCTGATTTGTAAGCATGTGACACCATTGATTTTTTTTGATCTAACGGCTCTCAAATGAGGTGTCAAATTTCAAATTTGACACCGGTGTCAAAGGATCCTGCCTCATATATATATATATATATATGAAAAATATTAATCTCATGTCACATGAGACAACAACTCTCTCCTACACACTAAAAAAAATATGGGTCTCACTTCAATTTTTTTCCCTCTTTTCCTGTGCAATGAGACCCACATAAAAATTGTGAGTGCAACATTACATAAATATCTCCTATTACATAAGAAAATATAATCTCTATCTATATATATATATATATATATATATAATGCGCTTGCTTGCTGGAGGAGAAGTTTTTGATGTTAACCCGGTATACATCTCTTGTAATATGCTAAAATGTTAGGAGTGTGTTATTATTTCTTAATATCCACAGTGTTGAATATTTGTTATATTCTAATTGTTTAATTGATTTTAAATATGTTTTGATGATTATAATCAATTTAATATTAATTTAATTGATAATATTTTATTGTCTTGAAATTATTAATGAGCTAATTGTTTGAGATTTCAAAATAATATTTATTTTGATTTGAAATAGTATTCAAGATAATTAAAGATTGCATTAAAATTGGAGAAGATATGGAAGATATCATGAAGAGAGAGAAAAACATGAGATCAATATTCAAGATAATTGAAGATTGCATGCAGATTGGAAAAGATATGGAAGATATCATGAAGAGAGAAACATGAAATCAATTAAAGATTAGGATAGATTTTATCTTTTTAAGTTTCATGTAAGAGAAATAAAATATTATTTGCCAAAGATTTGATTAGGATTGCATAATAGATTAAGATGTTATTATTATAAACAGGGTTCATTGCATATTATTCATTAAGAGGAGAAAATACAAGAGAGAAGAGAGACAAATATACAAGAAAGAAAAAAGAGAAATAGATTTTAAGATTATGATTCTTTCTTGTGCATGAAGAGCTTTCTTGAGAACAATCATTCATACATTCCTCTTTTGGCAAAGTGAATATTTTTCTGTAGGAATTCAGATTACTTATCTGCTCAACGAAAAAAAGCACTGCGGTAAATAATTTAATTGTAAATTTTTTCTTACCTTTTTGAAGGTCTATACTGGGAAACTTGGATACCAATTCTTGTGCTGGAAAACTGGGATACCAGGATGTCTATTTTTTTTTTTTTTGAAAATTGAGAGTAACTTGAGAACCCTTGTGTGATAGAGTTTCGAAATTCTAAAGGATTAAGATTTTGTACTGGGAAACTAGGATATCAGTTGAAAATTTACATAAAGAGTAGACTAGGAAACAAAACTATTGTGTTAATACTCTCTATTCTTATCTTGATTTATTGCTTTGAGTTAATTTTAATTAATAAATTATTTTTATAAAAGTCAATTCACCTATCTTAAATTCATGGTCAGACCAACACACTGCTTCGTACCCGAGTGTTGTTACAACCGGATTGAATCGGCCGGTGCGATTGGTTAAATGTGTTGGGTGTCAAATCTGGCCGCTCCACTTGTATAGTTTCGTCACCAACCATTAAGCCATAACATGTTGTTAGTTATAAATAGGCTTCAAAAAGTGTGAGCCTCACAAAATGTTGTGTTTATAAGAAACTTTGTTGTGTCATGTTAAATGATAAATGCAAACTTCTATTTTTATATAGGCTTTAATGTTGTATTTGTAAAAAACTTTGTTGTGTCATATTAAATAATAAATGCAAACTCCTAATTCCCAATAAATCTCAACCATTAGATGCACGGAAATCAACGGTTAAGATTTGGTGTAAGATTTATTATTCTTACACCGGTGTAAGTTGATCCTATCCCATATATATATATATATATATATATATATATATATATATATATATGTAATTTGTTCGATTAATATCCATTAATAACATGGTTGGTTGTGTCCAATTGCCATTTTATAATTTGGAACTTTATAGAGTAATAAATCTGAATTCCAATTTGGACTTTTTTATGATTTTCTTACTCATTTATTTTATTTTTATTAATTTGATAATGGTTTGGATTAATGTGTATTTTGTACTTATTATAGTTAATTAGTCGATAAAAATCCTGTGATTTATTTCCCTGCAAATTTTTTCACATTAAAATGTTGGACTTGTGTTTCTGCAGTTACTGCAAAATTTTATTGGTCGCAGTAGACACAAGTAAATGGATTCCATTTGTTTATTTTTTAAATAAAAAAAAAACACATTAGGATATAGAACCATATCCTAGTGTTGTTGCGGAAGGTTTTTTTTGCAATGACAATAGAGTTATAAAACCCTAAAATGTTATTACTTCTATTTTTGCAATGTGATAATTACTTTTTGGTGCCGGTACATTTTAAGCGCACCAAATAACAATGACACATGTATATTAATCAATTAACTATAGGTTATATTTTTTATAGACGCCAATCATGATCTCTAAAAAAAAAGTAATTTTTTTGCTGTTATTTAGTTATGAAATTGGAATTGATCAATGTAAATATGTAATGGGTTTGCTGTTTGTCATTTTAAATGATATAAGTTATGTCATTTTAGGAGAGAGATAGACACATAAAAATGAAAATCATGGGAGAGAGAAAGTGAGTGGTTTTTTTTAATTTAAAATTTAAATAATTTTTTTTCTGTGTCTGTCTCTCTCTTAAAAAGACAGAGTGTTATATCATTTAAAATGACAAACATTTTTCTCATACGTAATTGCTTCTTTTAAGGAAAAACCTCAATTCACTCCGTTCGATGTATAATTTTTGAATATGTATCTATTCATGTGAAAAAAAATGATACGGTTATTTGAGAAATCATAATCATACAAAGGTGAATCAATGATAATAAATAAAAAGAGAGAAAAAATATTGAAATAGGTAGTTACAAAATCATAAATGTTGATTCATCATTATATGGTTGTGATATTCTCACATGACCATATCATTTTTTTTTTTCACATAAGATTTATTTCCTTATTTTTTTTGTACTTTAATTTCAAACTTTAAATACATATAATGAGATTTGATATGAGCTCATCATAAAGGCTCACGTTCAAGAAGGCCCAATAAGAGCAACAGGAAAGAGGAAAATAAAAGAAATTAAGGAATTTTTTTTTAATTGATATTAATCTTAGTGCGACGGCAATGAATCATGTAAAAAAATCATTAAAGGTCCAAAATTTCATTGTCCACAATTAAATTCTATAAATAAAATATAAAACGCATAAATATGACACTTACTCTCTCTACTTTTTGTTACTGTGCACACACACACACCACCCCCTTGGCTACAGGTATGACACTTACTCTTTTGGCTACACCAGTATTCTCTTGTACACAATGATCTGCTACCCTTAAAGGTATATGTTCCATAGATACTTGAGAAAGTCATCCAAGATAAACTCATTAGTCCCAGACATTTCTATCACTAGGATAGAATAATATTTCTAAACTTTTTAAAGTCTTTGTTTTAGTCTTTCTTGTTAAATTTTTCTCAAAACTTTTTTATTAATTCCAAGATCAAAATATTCTTGAACATAAACTAAAGGAAATAAATGATTTTTTTTTTAATAAAAAATTTAGAAATAAATGGTCTTGTAATTTGAAAAAGATTTTAAATTAGACTTTCTTTTCTTAATTATTTTTTTTTCTTTTTATGAAGTTTTTAAATCTTTGTCTCAGGCTTTTATTTTATGGGCTCTAAACTTTTCAATTGCCCGCTTTGTTGTTTGTGAACCATTTTCCACTTCTCAAACTATTCCAAAAGGGAAACCAACAACCTGAAAGCTGAAAAGCCTTCTCTTTATCTAAGTTAATAACATTTATTCTACCTACTTCTTCTTTATTTAATTGCATGTTTATTCACCTAATTGCATTTATTCCACGCACTTTTTCAGTTTTAAAGTCTGTCCATGCGTTTCTAATTTAACAAGGTGTTTCCTATATAAAGTGTTGAAAGTGGTGAGGAATTTAATCACCATTGTATAGAAACAAAAGTTGCATAATATTTTGGAGGCTTTGTTTATCTCATGGGTATTTGCTTAATCCGAATTTCCTTTCTGGTGTTTTTTCTTAGCAGCTGTATATTGTTGTAGCTGTTCTTGTAGCAAACTCGCTAAAATTCTTATATTAGTCATGACTTTTATGTTACAATTTTGACCTGTTCAATTTTTTTGATTCCTTGTCCATTTATGCTTCTGTTTTAGAATTGTATCCATGACTTGTTCTTTAACCTCACGCAGAGCAAAGCAAAAAACTAGTCTGCAACATTCCAAAGAAAAGTATCCAAAACACAAAGGATACTGAGGCAACTATAGCAGATGAAACATATAGTGACAAACAAGTTTCTACTTGTGCTGATGAAATGATCAAGTTATCTATTTCTGTCATGAATGAAGAAGATAAGTCAAAAACTCTGCGAATTTCTTCAATTGAAAAACCGGTTGTAAGTTTGAAGAAAAAGCTTCTTGTTCTTGATGTAAATGGGCTTCTTGCGGACATAGTTTTCCCCCCTCCAAAGTCTCATAAAGCAGATGCAATCATAGTGGGGCGAGCAAGTAAGAAAAGATTGTGTTTTGTAATATTTCACTGGGTGAGCCTTTGGTGCAATGGTCTATATATGCCTTTTATTCATTGTTTACTAAATGGATTATTGTGTTTCATTTCAGTATTCAAGAGGCCTTTTTATCTTGAGTTTCTGAACTTCTGCTTTGAGAAATTTGAAGTGGGTGTGTGGTCTTCAAGAACCAAGTACTCTTCAAACATCTTTTATAAAATGTCACTTAATAACTTCTGGTGTAGCATATTAACGTTTGGGTTTTATGATTTGTGTAGGAAAAATATCGACGCAGTCATTGATTATTTGATGGGAAAAATGAAACACAGGTTGCTTTTTTGTTGGGTAAGGACTTTATCCGTTTTCTTTGATTTCCAAAATGTTAAACTTTTTCTTGTTCCTCATTTTCAAATAATTTTTCCTCCAGAGAAACTGTTCTAGTAAATTATGGATAAAGTACTTATTCATGTATGTGGAGTAATAGCTGTCATTGTTTTGAGTTGTTTTTGTCATGTATTTGATAGTGTTTTTCATACTTATTTCAATGTTAAGGAACAGGGATTATCCCGGTTTTGATCAGTTCTACTTCTATAGTTCTATTCCTTAGTGATCTTGCTACTTTATTTGAAAATGCATCAACTTGCAAGCCAAATTGGTTACTTCTTCTATCTCATTCTACATATTCTTCATTTTGGCAGGATCTTTCTCATTGTACTGCAACAAGTTTCAAAACTCTTGAAAACAAACACAAGCCCCTGGTTTTTAAGGATTTAAGGAAAATTTGGGAGAAGCAAGATCCTAATCTTCCATGGGAGAAGGGATACTATAATGAATCAAATACATTGCTGTTGGATGATTCTCCGTACAAAGCATTGCTTAATCCTGTAAATAAACTAACTTTTTCTTTCTTTCTATCCATAGCAGCAGCAGCACATAACGGTTTCATTTCCTAACTTGCTGTTGAATGTTTTCATAAATTTTTTAGCCACACAACTCAATTTTTCCGCATACATTCCGTTTTCAGAATCAGAGCGACAATTCACTAGGTATGGTACAAAAGGACCTTCCAGCATTCATATTTATAAGGGTTTGCTTGAGGCTTGGCCAGATTTTGCTATTGGACTAGGCACCCGTTTTTTATTGCTCTCTTGTATACTTGAGGAAGGCAAAACAAATTTTGTAGAACCTAGCTATATATATATATATATATATATATATATATATGACATATCCTTGTATAATCGTGTATATGAATAAATCTTTGGTGCATCATATGTATCCAACTGAGTACATCTTTTTTTCAAAAGAAGAAACTTTTTTAATGTGGCGGAATTTTTTTATTTTATAAAGTGAAATTTTTATCAAATGTGAAAAAAAAAAATGTATCAAATTGGATATTTCTGATGCATCAAAGCTTTGTCCAGTGTATATATGGTATTTTTTTTGGTGCATTTATAATTTTTCAACCACAAAATACATTAATGGACCATTTGTTTTCTTGTTGAAGGGTATGTAATGGTGACTAGTGAGTACTCCTTTTTTTATGTTTTCTTGTTGAATTGGGTTTGTAGTGTTGACTAGTGATTTATGACAGCTGCTGGAGGTGATCTGCGACTGTATCTTTATGGATTGGCAAATGTTGAAAATATGCTCAAGTACGTTGAGCAACACCAATTTGGTCAAGAACGTGTCACTAAAAGAAGTCAATCTTGGAAATTTTATGTCAAGGTAATTGATAGTCTTTCCGCCCGTCATTGTTGAACTTCAATATGATGTACTTTTTATATTTCTAATATGGTTGTTGAGGATTCCTTTAGAAAGTATTGTCATTTATGAACAATATTTAACTATCCTATTTTGATTATGGTTTACTGTTTTTTTTATGGACTAAATGTATAAGGGCTGAAGTATCCTTTATGGACCAAATGTTGGGGTTCCTTTTTGTTTTGATGAACATTAATATGATCCTTTACAATCGATTCTGGGCTTAAAGTTTCTTTTGGTCCACATGGAATAGACCGAAATTGATAGCAAACCTTCAGCCTTTCTATACATGTGAAATGGTTTTTTAAAATCAATTGGAGACATTGTTGAAGATAAGCAATTGGACAGGGAGAGTTTCACTATAAATGTGAGTATGATTAATGAGTCTGAATGTAACACATCTCATATACTTCTCTAATTATTGTTCGCTTATACACATAACCACATAATAATGTTTTTCAAGGCTGGCATCGGTATGCGTTTGTTCTAGTTTTGGGATACATAAAATTTTGTTTGGGGGGTGGGCAAAAGTTTTCTAGTGCAATGATTTTCTTATATATAATAGAAAAGAATTGTAATAGGCGGTGTTGGTAATCAATTTAAAATTTTCTGAAATATTATTTTGTGACATCAATTAACGATATTATTGTGCTGATATTTATATGGTCCGAATAAAATAAACAGTTAGAACAACTACATCGGAGCCTCGATGTAGTGCAAAATAGGTAAAGATTTTTCAATTTTCATACTTTCCAAGACAATTGTGGTTAAAGAAGTTAATCTAGCGCCTTATTGTTTACAAAAAATAAAATAAAAATAAAAATACCCTAGGAATATCCGTTTTGATACAATTATTGTAACACACAATAATAACTTTGCAGAAGTAGTTGACGGCATGGTTAAAGAAATATGAACTTTATCTAACTTTAAAAAACCAAGTGGGTTGCACAAAAGATTAAGAAATAACAGCATTTAAACTCGGGTATATAAGTGAAGTTATAGCAGTTGTTGATACCATTGTAGATAAGCCTTGGAAGAATAATCAGGTCAATGTTTAGAAGGCTTAGAAATAGGATCTTAACCTTTAAATTTATCGAACAGGAAACATTGAACGTCATAAGTAAGTGTATGTGTGTGTGCATATATAAAGTCGCATAATGGAGTTTGCTGTATCAATTGTTTAGAATTGGACTTATATATTGAGGTATGCGCCTGCAAGCAATTGAATTTCTTATTGACAAAATAACACACACACAATGGAATCGTCTTATTTTGAGTCAAAAATATACTCTCCTAAGATGGGGCATGTGACACTGAGCATTTTTTGGTTCTAATGACCTGTCTATTAAGTATTATTTTTGACTTTTTTGTTATTAACAAATTGTTATGAACTGTATTATTTATTTTTGAAATATTCTTTCTGATAGATTGCGTTACACAGAAATAAATTATATGTATTATAAATAACGCTTAGTACACGTGCCGCTTTTTATTGATATCAACTTTATGCTCTTGTTATTTTTTGTATTAAAAAAGAAGACACAAAATTCTGAAGTTTTGCGTCTGCAAGTGATCAATTAGCCAGGTCCACAATGTCCCACGTATGATTATTTAGCTATGTATTTTATCACTTGTCAAGTTCCTTCTCTTCATCTTAATTCCCTTAAAATATTAGGAAAGAGAAAAGGTATGATTCAATTATTGGAATTGTCTAATGAAAGTGAAAGGGAACAAGTATTATGACTTCTAATTCAAAGTTGTACCCCGCCAAAGAAGAAAAAAAGAATCAAGTTAGTGTTAATACTTAATATTGTTAAGCGGGTTGGATATTCTATCTACTACACACAGAAACTTACACATAAGATTTGAAAGGCTGTCTTCTCATGTGACTTATGATAAAAGGATAAGATAGAATAAAAAAGTTTCAATATGCCTCTTTAACGTGGTCTGTCCCTTTTTTAACGGTCATACCACCTTGGGACCCTTCTGGGCACTCCTTTGAATGTGAATAAGATTCTAGTTTTAGCTCCCTTTTGAATTTCCTTTTTCTTAAGATCGTTTTCTTTCCCTCATTGTGATTCTCTATGTTTTTTTTTTTAAATTGATAAAAAGTTGAAAAATATATTTCAGTTTTCTTAATGAGTTAATCATTTACAGTACTATCAATTATAAAAAATAAGTCTATTTTTTTCATTGTTAAATTAATTTATTTCTTCACTTAACTACTCATTATATTTTTAACATATAAATCTTGACTTCACCAGTACATTATTCAGTTGTTTAATAAATCTTTATATAGAAACTCGTTTAATAAGTTTTTTTGGGTAGCAATGTTTAATCAGTTTTAATTGTAAAACGGAAAAGAAATAAATGTTTTTTTTTTTTACTTCAGTTAATCGTGACATTACTCTATAAGAACAGTTTATATTTTATTGAGAACTTCTTAATATAATTGAAACAAAAATTGATATTTTATGTTGATTTAATTTATTTTTAATGATTATTTGCTACAACCGATATATAGTATAATGATTAATTTGTATGTTAAAATAAAGTGGAAAAAATATTGTGTATTTTTTTTTTTTTTTTTTTTTTTGAGTTTCCTCAAAATATCCTTTGCCGACAGTCGAAGATTAATTCTTTGAGATATAGAAATCACCGAAGTGAATTTTGCCTCTGTCAATAAAGTTTTTTTCATACACATGATCAGTAATCAAATCCTTGACACTATGCTTATGGGACCCACCCAACTACCAACTGTTCTGATTTTGTTGGTTATTTTACTTTATATTGGATTAGATATATATTAAGATACTTGATATTGTTCCTATTTATTAATATATTTTAATAAGAATAAGACATATACAAGTTTCAACTATAAATAATTAGACTGTTTGATCATTTTATCCTTATTTTTAAATTTTTATTATATGTACCCAAAAAAAGTAATTTATTATTTTTTTCTTGAATTATACATATCTTCTTAAACTATATATTGAGGAGGGATATTCTTACTACCAAAATTTTCCACTACCAACTTACTACCTATCTAATCACCATTAGATTAACATTTTCTCTCTCTTCAATTTTTTTTTAACATTCTCTCTCTTTGATCCAATGATGATGTGATGGGTAGTAAGAATTTTTGGTAATTAGAATTTCCTTACTCCTATATATTAATGTCTTTATTTGGCCAAATTTTAGTTTTTATAAATCATTTATTCGAATAAATATGAGTTAAATTTTGATCAAATAAGAATAGATTGGTATATTTAAAAAAAAAACAAATTGATATACATTTTGAAAATAGGAGTACAATGATTATTGTCATATGGAAAAAACTACTCTTATGCAACATAAGAGTAGTTTATCTCCAACACACTTATCGAAAATTGTGACACTCTTTTTAACTTTTTTTTTTAAATGGTGGGCCCTATCATATATGTGTTTACAACATGAGAGAAGATATCTCATGCAACATAAGATTAAACGAACCCATAATATATATATACTTACCAGCTAAGTCAACCCATTTCTCCTTGTTAACTTAAAACTAATATTTTTGCTGAATTAAGAACATGGTAATGGGTGGAGACTTTAGATAAAAACATCATGTGAAAATATGCATGACGGGGTTAAAGGTTATTGGAATATTAGTTTGGGAATTAAGATGATGGAGATCGATTGTCAGATCTTACCCAATAAAAAGTAAGGTACCCCGTGATGCTCCACTTTTTCCATGTGGTCGTGTTATATCCCTTTTCAAAATTCCACTTCAACCTTTGATTACCATCGATCCCCTTTTCTCTAGGTAGGTATCTGAAACAATTAATAATCAAATAATATTTTGATCTTTCCAATTTCCATGCAGGTGGCATACTGCAGCATCTTTAAACCAATTATATGGTTGAACTTTGGACTTATCTATTTTTGCTAAGATATTACATCGGCAATCATTTTTTATTTTTATTTTTGGAGAAATTTTGTTTTTTTATTAGTGATTCATAGTATAAGTGAGTCTCATCTTAATTTTTTTTTCTATTCATTATTTTGTAAACCCATCTTATGTCATACGTTACTAGCAGAAGAAATATTTTCTTCTTTTAAAAGAAGAAAATATTTTCTCATATTTTATATCAGAAAAATATTTCTGTAATTAATGTGGATAAGTTATCTGCATTTACTTCTAAAATAATGTCGTTTTGGGATTGAAGATTAGAAAATTATAATTATAAAAAGATTATAATAACCCTAAAATAAATTAAATTACAAAAATATCATAATTTCTGCTCCAAAATGACGTTGTAATGAATTTACTGCAGATAACTTATATGTAGTAACTGCAGAAAAAATCATCCCATTATATATACTTAAAACCTATTGAACAATCATGGTCATCGATGACATCATCATAGTGTATTAATTTATTACACAATAATTACTCATATATTGAATTAACCATAAATTGAAACCTAGACATTGTCACGAGGACAATGAAAGTGTGTCACATGCCACACCTAGCTTATTACTAGTTTAACTAACTAAATCGGTTCTTCGTATGCTTTTTTACTTTGATAAGCTATCCTCTAGCATATGATATTTCATCTTGGCTTGTTGCGATATGACAATATCTAATGGGCATATCTGTATTTACATCATCTATATGCCTGAACGGGAAATTTTGAATTTTCATCGTTCAAAATAACCTAATATATTTATTGTATCATAATAATATTTCTACAATTAATGCAATCTGCATTTACTCCCAAAACGATATCGTTTTGGAATTGAAAGATTAAATAATTATAATTATAAAGATTATAATAACTCTGAAATAAATTAAAATTACAAAAATATCATGATTTCCGCTACCAAAATAACTTCGTATTAGATTTACTGTAGATAACTTATTGCAATAACCGTGGAAAAAACTAACTCTTAGGGTGTGTTTGGTACATGAGAAATTTTTTGGTGACCGGGAATCATGATTAATGGGAATTCAGTAGAAATTGAGTTTACTTGGAATCTTACGAAAGATGTGTTTGGTTCGCCAAAATATTACCGGGAATACTGGGTAAAAATTACTGATTCCATATTTGGTTTAGAACGAAATATGACTTGGAATATGAGGTTATTTTACAAAAATAACCCCAAACTATTTTTACTTTTGTAATTGATAGATTGGGTCTAGATTTTTATGTGTATTGGGGTATTTTTGTCTCAAAATTTATTGTTGTGCTTTCCCTTTACTTGGTATTCTGATTGGTATTCCGAATTATCATATTATTTTTGGTAATCTGAATAGTGACTTTTCTTTATAAATCAAATTACCGGTAATCCTTGGATATCCGGGAATCGTAATTTATTCCTTCTACCAAACGTGGTAATTACATTTACCAAAAAAGAATTACCGGTAATCCTTTCCAAAAACTTGAACCAAACACCCCCTTATTGTATTATCAATTCCTTTTTTTTTTTCAGCTAATGAACTTCATTTTAGACATCGTCAAAAGATTCAAGAGGACAATTATTGCCTTCATGGAGTACAGCGTGCAAAAGTTTGCCAAAATGTGCAAAATTATGACTAAACCTAATTTATTAGGTCATCGACTATGTGCAAAATTATGACTATAAATTGCTCTTCTAGCTGGCTTAAACTAATCATGGAAAACCACATTTTCTCTCTTACTCTCTTACCTTTAATTTATAATGCTAATTTAGATGCTAAAACTTATTATGGTAGCATTTATAATTTACACGACAATGCCGTCCATGGACATATAATATATACTATGGTTTAGTCTACTCAGCGGTGCAGAAGCTATATAGCTTATGTAGTTTCTCTACATTCATGCTTGGTCCAAAACCTCAAACATATTAGGTCACTGGTTAATTAGGTGAATGCAATTACTAAAAATCCAAAACGATAAGTCACTCTAATGACAATTTGTTAGCCCAATTTACCATTACATACGTAAGACGAATATTTAGGCAGTAGCTTTTGTCTGGCGACAAAATTTAAAGATCAGAAGCAAAAATCACCTCAAATAGAAAAATCACTGTTGTGGTGCTTGAGCAGAGTTTCACTCAAGTATTAATGTCTATTCAGCAGCTAGTGTTTTATAGGACCACAATTTCTGCCAAGAATTCATCATCAAATAATTTTTTTTTTTTTAAACTGATCCTAATTATCTATTTGAGGCGAATCTGAACCCCCTGGTATCCCACGGGTTCGACTCATTGAGCCGCTTATGGGACTAATCCAGAGTTCGGGTGCGAGTCCAAGGATTACGGTACTTATGCCTCTCCTCAGATGGTATTGGTAGGATTCAAATTGAGATCCTCTCCCACCACTCAGTCCACATGCTACCAACTGAGCCACCACACTTGAGTACAAATAATTTCTTAATACCATGATGAATCATTTTTTTTTTAATTTGTTAATCTAATAAACAAATAAATGTACATGAAAAGGAGGTGAATTCTTAAAACTTGCCTAGCTGATTAATATGATTTCAATTAGGGAATAATGTTTCTCATATTTAGAATATAATTTTATCTCCTATGCACATATAAAAGTGAATGAGATCGTGTGAAGAGAAGGGAAAGAGAAAAGAATATGTGTCTCACATATTTTTACGTGTATAAGAGATAAAATTATATTCTACAACGTAAGACACACAAATCCCATATTACCGAAAAAAAAAAACAAATCCCTTTCAATTATTGCCCTTCATTTAATTAGCAATATCAAAGGAATGATACAAGTATATTTTGCTCATTTATTAGGCAGTTTAAGAATTTCTAGTATTGTGTTTCGAAAAAAAGAATTTCTAGTATATTTTACAGAATGTCAGAACCGTCGATTGGACAACTGTGATGCACAACATGGAGCTTACAAATATTAAAAGGTATGTATTTCACACTGATATTCTTTATCTGATACATTATGCATGTATTGACATATAATATACCAATTCCACGTACAAAAACCGATTTAAATTTTCTCTCAGACACTTTATGAAGCTCTATCATAGATTGAATTATATGGGATATAAAATCTATCCTAATGTTCCATCCTGAACGGAACAAAATAATTATGGCTGACACATATTTTTTTAGGTTAGGTATACAAGCCACTTAATTAATGCAAGTTGTATTTTAAGAAAAGTGAAGAAAATACGTCTCATTTGATTTCTTATCAAGTTTAGAAACTAAAGGATAGTATCTCCCAGATTTAGATCTTGATGATGCATAATCACACATTAACATTTCATTGATTTAGTTGTAATCTATCTTAGTGAAGGGCTAAATTCTTGTAGCTATAGACCTAAGTATTTTCTGGTTTTATAATAGAAAATAAAATTTGAATCAGCAGCATGGGGAAGAAAATTTTGAATCTTTGTACTCAATACATTTACATTGCTGAAACTTGAGCCTGGTTTTTATCACACTATAGTTTTCATTTTCCTCTTCTTTAACAGCTAGGCCAATAGGAAAATATGCATAGGTAAGTCGTAAGTGAAATCTAACCGAAGCAGTAACCATCGATAGCGATGTTGCACTTGTAACGTAGTACCATCTGCAAAGTGGAAGCCAAGAGGCCAAAACTTTGCGGCGGAAACAATACACAATTTCCAAAAGGACTTCCTCAAGATTTGATCTTAATTTTCAATCAATTATTTTGGAAATGCTAATGGTCCAAACATATTCAAGAGTTAGTAAACTGTGTGGCCTTGCATGATACTTGTGACAACACAAATTGGACCAGGACCATTCTTCTGCTGAAATGTATCAACTAAAAAGCACAAGACCAACCATATTGGCTTGTGCTACTTTCTAGGTTGGTAACTACACCAGAACAGAGCGATTAGTAATCCTTTTCCTATAATATGTTCTTCAATTCCCATTATTATAATGGTTGTCGTGTAAGGTTAAATAATTTACCTTTCATAGAATTCAATAGGCATGTTTATGTACAGTACTGTGTACTGCAATTCTGCAAATGCAATTCCCCAACTCTAAGGTAAAATGTAACATTCATGTAATAAATGCTTCATTACTAAAACAATATAAGGCTGTTTTGCTTTTTTATTGGCAAAGTGAACTAATATCATATCATCTCCATTTTGAGGTCAGGTCCCAAGTTTGGAGAAAAAGCTGAGAACCCATCAAAGTGCAATTTCGTGTAAAGTGGGATATGTATGGGAATGGTTGAACAAGCGCTTTAGATCCTGCAGGCTTTCACTGAATATCTCTATCCACTTTTCTTCAATTTTCTTTGCTTTTGGTACAAAATCCACTTCCTCACTTGTTTTCTTTTTTTTCTATTTCCCTCTCTGACAAACTCCACATGCTCATGGAGAGAGGTCCAAGCCACAGACCCACCCACGTTGTGTTGTCCAAATGGAAGTGCTAGGAAATGACCACAGAGCAGATCTGAGTCATCTGACCCACACATTCACACACATCTATCCCACTTCCCCTTACCCCCCCTTTTTTTTTCCTCCCTCTTCACTTTCTTTTAATTTCTTGTTTAGCACCAAATATATGAACCAATTGTTAGGGGTTGTTCCAATTAACCAATAGTCTCTACTTTGAGTGCCTAGAAATGTAGCTATACCAAAATTTTGTAAGAAGAATTTGTCTCCCTTATAATCCTACCCAACTTGAATTGGACAAATTGAATAATCGATAAATTAATAGATAATATAAAAAAATTAACACTTCTTTCTTCTAAGGAACTCATATTTTTTTTTTTAGAGATTTTTTAATATGTTCGTCGCTTTGCTATGATTCGGAACAGGTCTCGAAATTAAAATTTTAAACTTTTTTCAAAGATAATATTGAAAAAAAGATCACCCTTACATGCTTAGTGCCTGTTTGGATTCTTTCTTTTTTAAGCTAGAAGCTACTTATAAGCATAAGCTAGGCCAAACAGATTTTGGGAAAAACTCTTATAACGAAAAACTTTTTTTTTTTATAATGAAGAAAAAAGCTGAAAAATAAAAAGCTCATAGGAGGAGCTTTTTTTAAGCTCTTATCTATTTTTCTTGAATTGTGTGCTTTTATTTTAAATGAAGAGTGATAAAGATAGAGAGAGATATAATTTTCTTGAAATATGTGCTTTTAAATAATTTTTAAGCTAAAACTTTTATGTAATTTCTAAACAGTTTTTAATTTCTTTTTTTAAGTTTTTTGTTTTTTTAACTTTAACTTGTGAATAACTTGTAACTTAAAATTAAGAATATCAAAGAGGCTGAATATCCAAAGAGGGCTGTTATTTATGTAAGGGCAACTGAGTTACCATTTGATAAGTGACTCAGATTTTGACACCCCAAATTCGATCCATATTTCCCTCTCTCTTACGTAATGTAATTAAAAGGTTGTCACTTCTTTATATATTCTAAGCAACTCCATTTTTCAACATTTGCCTCTACTATATAATACACCATAATTCCTCTCTCACATGCCTCTCCTTGAGATAACAAAAAAACTAAAGTAATCCTTTGTTCTGTGGGCAAACCCAGAGAGAACAAAACATCTCTTCTTGGGTCTCTCGAATTTCTCTTCAGTTTGTGAATGCCAGCCAATAGAAGGTGGATGCTAGTGTTAGCACTTTGGAATTGCTTTGTTTCCACTTCTTTTTGTTCCTTCTGCTTCTGCAGTGGATATTCTGTATTTTCTTTTTCTTTTTTTCTCTCTTTGATTCTGTCCAAGGAATAGGATATTCTCTTCTGTTCACATGCAAACACATGTAAAACACAAAAAATCAAACTCCAAATGAAATTTGCATGACAAATTCTCCATCCAGCATAGGCAACTTCTTGTCTCAATGAACTGTCTCTGTCCTGTTTTAAAACTTCTGATTCCGAAGGTCAATTCATAGTTCTTGACATTGCAAATTCTTTAACTTTCACTGAATCCCAAGAACAGAACATCTCTTTCTTCTACATTCAATAGGGACATAGTTGTTGCTTAAGAAGAAGCCTTGTAGACTCAGCACGGTTGAAGCTTAAAGGGAATAAAAATGTCTGAGAAGGCTTTGAAATCAACGAAGGATGAAAACCCAGATTTGCAGAAGCAGATTGGCTGCATCACTGGTTTTTTTCAGCTCTTTGACCGCCATCGTTACCTCACAGGCCAACACAATAGCACCTACGCTTCAGGTATTCTTTAATATCCTTGTTTCTGTTCTGCATTTTGAAAGTGATTTCAATAGTCTCAGCACCACTTGTTAATTTTGTTATATTTTCAATTTCTCTCTTTCTTTCTTTTTTTGGTAGATTTTCATACAAGCATGATTAAAAGAGAAAACTTGATTGACATGTATATTAAAATGAAAATGTTAGATAAACGTACAAAATTTCTTAGACATGTCACAGTTCCAATAGATATTTCATGATGTATGTGAGAAATTCTGGTTGCAAAGCAAACATTTTTTTATTAAAAAAATGAATCGCTTTCTTGTACAGTAATGGCCTGACGTAATGGCCTGTTCCTTTAAGTTTAGTAAAGTGTCCTCTGACGTTGTTCTGTTTTGTCATCTTTTCTTCTTCAGTTTTTATTTAGCTTTTTTTATGGGGTGAGTGAGAGGGTTGGTTCAGGTTCTTTAACTGCACCTAGTTACAAGACAAAACAAAGCCTTTTACTTAAATTATGGCAGTTTTTTTCCATTCTGGTTTCTTAATCTTTAATTTCGTTTTGGTTTCTTGGTTGCCAATGTTAAAAGTCATATTTTTCATTTTCTTAGTAAAAAAAAAAATTTAAATAAGGTTAAATACCAGTATTCCACTAGGGTTAAGAAAGACTCTCAATCACTTTAAGACCTTCTATATTTACATATTTTGATTTGGCTGACGAGAGTTCTGATTGGAAATCGAAATTTATTCAGCACACAAATCTCAATATAAAAGAAAAAAAAGGAAGAGAGATTGATATAGTGATTTATCTTAGTTCATCTAATCTAATGTAGGTTACGTCTAATTTGTCTGCACTGTACCACTATTTACAAGTCACTCGGTTTATAAGAAAAATATAAATAAGATTAAAAAATTCTAATAACAACTATTCATGGGTCCAAGTTCAAATTATTAAAAAAATAAAATAAATCAGAGACCTATGACAATACCTAATCTCTACGAGATTTTATTTGTCTTTCTGCTAACTCCGTCAATAAAATACCCTCGTCAGCATTCAAAGTATGAATCATACCCAATAAATTCTATAGGGAAATTTCCTTTATAGTTTCTATAATATAAAATCCGTTCCAATATATGAATCTCGTTTTGAAGTCAACAGATCTCAAGATATGAATCTTTGAAATTTATATGAACATTTTCCAATAGATGTTTAAAGAAAAATTTAACTTTTTAGAGTGACATATTTTGATCTTGATATATATATATATATATATTATGTACCTTATAATTCACCTAGAATTGTTTCATTTTTCTGATTTATTGCACGATGGATGCCTAAAGTTCCTATTAATTTTCTCTAGTGGCCCATTATTCTGCCAAAAAATAAATAAATAAATTAAGGAAGAGTAAAACTGTAAAACATTCTATTTTTAGTATTTTCCTTAGATATTTTAAAGATATTTTGTGAGCCTCAACATCCTTGTTTCTCTCACCACATCTTCCAGGTTTATGGTGCGCTCAAATCCTTGATAGTTATATCATATCAATTTCTATGCTTTTATGTGGAGCATGTAAACATGCTACCAGATATTTTAGAAAGGATTTAAATAGAATAAACAGATAGTTGAAGTTAGAGTTTGAGGGCTTTTCATCTTATTTCTAACTCAAATTTCCTTCCCTTCTAAGGTGGAAGCAGTAATGACATCAAAGAGCTCAATAGTGCAATGCACAAAACTAAGGTAAGATAACTGTAGTTTTACTCTCTGGAGAATTTTACCAAAAATCAGTTAAGAACTTGTGAGTATGAATGCAGGCAAAGAATCTGAAGATTGCAACAGAGAAGCAACAATTCTCTACAGAGTCATCAATGACTTCTTTGTCTTCATCATCTTGTTCATCTAGCATGTCATCCCTAGAGTTTAACAGAACAATTCAGACAGAATCACCATCAACCAGTAGAATCAGAATTCCAGAAAATCCAAATTCAGAAGTAGCAATGAAGCAACTTGATACCCCAGGCCAGCAATCCCTCGACATGTATGATATTGTCAAAGAGTCAATGCATAGAGAAGCTCAAGGAATGTCTGTGAAGACTGTGGCTAAAGAGGAAAAGAAGGGTCAGACTCATACCTTGAAACACATCGACTCCCCCCGGCCTTTGCAGTACCACAAATCTGTCAATGCAGGAGTTATGGTTGCCAATGAACCATTCCATGCTCTTGTTAAGTCCAAGAGAACACCTTGGGACTCACCACGACTCTCTTATGATGGGAGGGAGATACATGATACCTTTAAATCTGCCACAAAGCATAAGGAACTCCCAAGGCTTTCCTTGGACAGCAGACATGGTTCCATTAGAGGTTCCAATGAAGGAAACAAGTCTCGCAACCTGTTAAAGGGTCCACAGAAAGGGTATGGGAGGAACTCCAGCATAATGCTTAACCAGCTGCAAGAACCAGAAACTTCCAAAAGATCATCCAGTGTTGTAGCTAAGTTAATGGGTCTAGAAGCCCTCCCAGACCGCGCACAAACTTGTGGGACTCCAGTGGGGACTTCTAGCTGCTTCATAAGTGATGAATGCAAGCAACACCAAAATTCTGTATTGCCTAGGACATGTCAGGGGTTCACCTTGCCTCAGTCTAGTAGGGCTGATTCAATCACAAATGTATCACCATATACACGATTTGCACTAGAATCAACTCCGTTGAGGCATGATGATGCAAGTCAAAGTTCTCAAGTACAAGCTTCCCAGGGAAGTAAATCTGATATAAAAGCCTTAAAGTCCTCTCTTTCTGTATATGGGGAAATTGAGAAAAGGCTGACAGAACTTGAGTTCAAAAAGTCTGGAAAGGATCTCAGAGCCCTTAAACAGATTCTTGAAGCAATGCAGAGATATAAAGATTCATCAGATATTACAAGAGATCAGGCTTCAAATTCTCCATCTAACAATAAGAATAATAGTACTCCCAATGAAAGCTTCAAAGAACAAAGCCCAAGAATACGACAAAAGGACCCAGCATCTGTCCCAGCTGCGGTATCAAATTCAACCCGGGATAGTAAGTTGCCAATTGTCATCATGAAACCAGCAAAAGTTACCAGAAAAGCCAATAATCCTTCTTCCAGAGAGTTGTCAATTCAATGTAAATCTAGTCTCAGCAAGTGTTGCCCGAGTGATCCCACAAATGGAAGACTGGTTGAGAAACAAATTGCTAAAGGTATCAGTTCAACAACAAAAAATATCAAGGATCCTTTTGGTCAACCAGTCCATTCAGCAGATAAGAATAAAAGCATGAGAACTTCAAAGTTGATGCAATCCTCAAAAGTTCTTCAAGACAGCAATGGAGAAAATATTACCAACTCTGGTAATATAACAGTGACTGGGAGCCCAAGACTACAAAAGAAATTTGGTTTGGAAAGGCGTTCTCCACCAACCAGTCCAGCATCAGATTCCAGCATTAACAGAAGACAACTCAATAGGCAACCTGTGGAATTGTCTTCTCCAAGTACAACACCCAGACAAAAGCTCTCTACCTTACAGGAGAGAAATGAACGTTTCAGTGAGATCAGCTGTCACTGGAAGGATTTCCAGAATCATGTTAATGTCATTTCTCCAGATTTTGACACCAAAAGAAACTCAGCCACTCTTAGTGACATAGAAGTCATTCGCGTTGATCAATCAAGAAGGATCAATAGCACCTCCATCCAGCTGAGAGGCCCGAATCAAAATGTAAGTATTTCTTCCTCGCATAATTAGATTTTGCATCTAAATCAGCCGGTTAAACAGTCTTTTGTTGATCAGAATGCATTTGAAGAGTTGAGCAAGGAAAGCTCTAAGGCTGAGAAAATAGTAACTGCTGAACAACCAAGTCCTGTGTCTGTTCTTGATGCTGCATTCTATAGGGAAGACCCACCATCTCCAATGAAAAAGAAATCAGACATTTCAAAAGATTTAGGTAAGCAACATAGATTGAATCGTGGATAATCTACATTCATATTTCAAATGAATCACTGCAGCCAATATACATTTTAGTGGCATTACAAAATACAAAAATCATTCAGCAAAGGATTTTGAGTTACATTTTGATTTCCTTCAAATTTTCTGCCGCAGATGAAGCTCTAGGAACTGATGATGAAAGTGAGAAGAACTCAGTGGATCATCCTCCTTTATCCATCACCACAAAAGCTAACTTCATCAATAGATCTAGTGATAAAGACTTGAACACCCAGAATTTGGTTCAAATTCTACAAGAAACTGATTGGATTGATGAGAAATTCATCAATTACATTGACAGTAAGGATCCTGACCATAAATATATATCAGAAATACTGCTAGCTTCAGGTTTGCTCAGTGGTCCCAATTCTAGCCAGATATTCCATTCAGCAGGTCACTTGATTAATCCAAAGTTATTCTTTGCACTTGAACAAATGAAGACAAACAAGAGGCATTTTAATATTGAAGACGGTGCCAAGAAGATTCCCAGCATTATTAACCCTGAGCAAATGCAAAGGAAACTCATATTTGATGTCGTTAATGACATTTTAGTTCAAAAACTGATATTAGAGAGTTGTTCCACTTTATGGTTCCTACCAAATGAACTAGCAGGTAGAAAACTAAAAGGGCAGAAGCTTTTGGATGAGCTATGCACAGAAATAGATCAGTTACAACCTCAAAATAGGAATGTCAGCTTAGTTCATGAGGATGAGAATTTGACAAGCCTCTTGTGGGAAGATTTGAAGCATCACCACACAATTTGGACTAACTGCTGCAGTGAGATACCAAATACTGTATTGCATATTGAACGGTTGATCTTTAAAGATTTGATAACTGAAGTTGTGAGAGGTGAAGTAGCAAGCCTTCCTGGTAGGCATTGCAGGCAATTGATGTTTCCAAAGTAGGATATTTGGCTAAGCAGTTTGAGAAAAATTATTCAGTCTTCATATCCCACCTTTGTAATCTAGCCATAGATATAGTTTGAAGGGGATAATAAGCTGCTTAATTGACTGTTTCACCTTTGTTTTGTACAAACTCTTGCACATTTATGTGTACCTTTTTTGTCTTTCTTCATGTATTTATAATCTATGTTCATAAATACATGCAGAAATACAGATAAACGTATATCAGTGTGCACTTTCACAGGGCTGTTGAAAATATTGCAATGAGTTTTACATATTACACGAACATAACACGTTCTCTATATGTAGAATGGTTATGGTCCGATATGAAACAAAAAATCCCTTTTTTTCTTATGTCAAAACAACTAAATCGAAATGGCTATTAATTAAAAGGGCAGATCTCGGTATACAGAACTTTCCCACTTGGGGGATATGGATGAATGTCGAATGTACACAATTTTATTCTTGCATTTTTGCAAAAATATTATTTCCCAAACTCAACCCGTGATCTTCTGGTTATAAGTTTCATATGAAATTACAATATATATTAATTGCAACCGAGTACGAGAACACTCACCGAAGTAGACTCAGCTTCGAATCAAACCATAACGCAATTCACAATTTGGTTAGCCTCAAGCCATCGTTGATTATTTAATGTCTCAAGTTTAGCTAGTATAGCTCAACGCATTCAACAGGCACTCTTAAGATTGAATCAACTAGAATAACAATACTACATAAACCAGTCTCTTATCCATATTGTTTGGTAGCAATAATAAATTGATACCAACAAAAACAAAAGGCAATATATTACTAATATATGCATAGACGATTTTATTTGTTTAATTTTTTATTTTCCAAACCGAAACGAACCAAAGTCTTCCCACAATTTACTTTGCCTTACTTTTTATAAAACTATGTATTCATCAAGTTCTTTATATAGCTGTACTAAATATCAAAAAATTACTAAATATCAAAAAATCAAAGGGATATAACTAGGAGAAATTATTAATGCAATTTCAACAATAAATGTAGAAGGTCGTAATGGAAAATCTTTTAATACACTCTTTCTATCAACCTTTCTAATATTCTGCTCATCCAAGACATGGGGGGGGAGAGAGAGAGAGAGAGAGAGAGAGATGAGGAGTGAGATGAGGATGTTAATATCTAACCTCAATTCTTCAATGTTGCAAATAGTTTACATATTACACAAAACAGATCATATCCTAAAATATTCAGGTCACATTTTTCAAAATGATAATGGGGAAAACAGAGGAGGCTTAGCATTAACAAATTTCTGGTTTGTGTTAACTAGCACAGTCAATAAACAACAAATTGCTCCAATTTAGAATTTGTCATCAGGCTACCCTTGCACGACTTGATCAGAGGATTGGAGTTCAACACGCATTTCATGTCAACAATTTAATATAAAGAGAAAATACTTTAAGCAATGACTTTGTTGAAGCAAGAGAAGGCCATGTGACACTCTGCCAACGAATGCAAATGATTTGTCTGTACTACTGGCAAGAGAGAAAAGAGGAAGCTTCTGAACCATTAATGGAGCAATTCCTTCCAAGCTATTGATATTGATGTTTCAAATAGCAAAATACATCAATATTTTTGCTAAGCACCAATCAAAGATCTAAGGCGCATAAGCTGAAGCAGCAGTTGAAGACACCACACCAATTGAAATTGCAAAAAAGAATAAATTCTACAATTTCATAAGCATAACAGCATAGCAACAAAAGTTTAAAAGCCCTTGCAAGTCCAACACACATCTCAACTAAGAATCACCAGCAAAACAATAAGATCAACATACATCCAGAACAACTATAACGTCAACCAAGCCTTATCAAGGGGAATTTGATAAAAACATTGTGAATCAAACAATGTCATCGGGCTCAGTCAAAACCACAATTTCAATAAATCTGCATTGGAAAAAGTAATTTTTATAATTTCTTCAAAAAAATTAGAGTAAATACTCTTTTTCGTCCCTGGAAATTTTCACGAGGCACATTTTAGTCCTGAACAATAAAAAAGGCTCATTTTAGTCCCTAATATTTGAAAAAAAAAGGGCCACGTTCGTCCTTCCGTTAGTTGGTATCTGATGGCCCAACTAACGGAGCACACGTGGACCGTTACTTTGCTGAGTCACCGTTAAGTATGCCAGCGTGGAAGTAATACGACGTCGTTTTGAACGTGTCTTATGTCTTGTTGGAGTTTTGGAAAGCTGAAGGTCCTATTTGGTCCCTGAAAAATTTATCGAGGCCCTATTTGGTCCTTAACACTAAAAAACCACCATTGCAGCAAACATTTCAAACCACCATTGCAGCAAACCTTTCAATCCATCTTGAGTTTCCACCCTAGAGACATCAAATGAAGCAATTTTAACAGATAAAGAAAACATAAAACAAATGAACATATAACAAATGTGACTATAAAACCAACAACGTAAATGCAAGGAAAAACATTCAGCTTCTTATACTGAATAAAGGAAATCTTAAATTCTTGGAAAGCTGGTATACGTATTGATGGAAACTGCAATTCTAGGAGTCGTATGTCATTCTACACCAGTGTAGGGATCTATCAAATTCTTCCTGATGGTACATTGGGCCCCGAGACGGAGGTGCATGGTTTCCCTGATGGTGCGAAGATAAATTTTAACTTGGTCTCCTGATGGTTGCCATTTATCCTTTAGCATTCGTGTGAATGAGGAGGACAGAGATAGTAGTAAATTCAGAGTATAGATTGCGGATATGGAAACATGGAAAGCTAGACCTTTATTTCAGTCACCTAATGTACATTTGAATGCAGTTTTTGATAATTATGTTTGGGTAGGTAACTCTTCATTGTTAGTTTGCACCATTCCATCATCCCGTGGAGCTCCACCAAAGAAACCTTTGGTTCCCGGTGGCCCAAAAATTCAGTCTAATGAGGAAAAAAACATTATTCAAGTAAGAACATTTTAGGATTTGCTGAAGGATGAATATGATGAAGATCTGTTTGACTACTATGCAACCTTGCAGCTTGTTTTAGCTTCTTTGGATGGTACTACAAAGGATATTGGTCCACCAGCTGTTTATACTTCTATGGACCCTTCCCCAGATCATCAGTACATTTTGATTTATTCAATTCACTGGCCATACTCTTTTATTGTACCTTGTGGAAGATTTCCAAAGAAGGTAGAGTTGTGAAGTGTTGATGGAAAAGTAGTCAAGGAGCTTTGTGACTTGCCCCTTGCTGAGGACATTCCAATTGCATTCAATAGTGTTCGAAAAGGGATGCGTTCCATTAATTGGAGAGCGGACAAGCCACCATGACTTTACTGGTACAGATCTGAGTTTTTAACTTATATTTTCTGCTGGGGTACATTTTAAATATGCATTTGTTATTGTTTTCATTATTTTTCTCTCAAAATTCTTAAGTGCTTGAAAACTTAAATTTCCCAACTGTGTTTTCGGAGATGAAGTTCATTGACATGTAAATAGTACTAAGTGTGCAGTTCATAAGAGCAATCATTCCTGTGCATAGCTAAGTATGCCTGTGCGCATGTATCCATACACATGCATATTATCCACTTGAAGGGCACAAACAGACTGGATGTGTGTATTATAAGTGTGGAATTGTTTATTGTTATTGATTAAGAGTTTAATTATGACATTTCCAGAATATTTTGCACTCACACTACAAGAAAGTACATCCATAGCCTCCCCTGCCAAAGAACATACGATGTTGATCTTGCATCATATATATTTGAGGGTCTGTGCTTATGGAATATTATGTTCAGGCATTCAAATATAGGTTTGTGTTATTTTCTTTTACTAAAGAACTCATGTGGCTGGTCAATGTTGGTTCAACTAAGGCGTTTTTCTTCACTGACCATATCTTCTTTCCCCTTTTATGGATATTTTTTGGTTTTCTCGTTTCATGCACTTTTCTTAACTAGATGTTTCATCCTTCATTCCCAATCAAATTTAAGATTTCCTTTATTCAGTATAAGAAGCTGAATTACGTTGTTGGTTTTATAGTCACATTTGTTATATGTTCATTTGTTTTGTGTTTTCTTTATCTGTTAAAGTTGCTTCATTTGATGTCTCTAGGGTGGAAACTCAAGATGGATTGAAAGGTTTGCTGCAATAGTGGTTTGAAAGGTTTGCTGCAATGGTGGTTTTTTAGTGTTAAGGATCAAATAGGACCTCGATAAATTTGTCAGGAACCAAATAGGACCTTCAGCTTTCCAAAACTCCAATAAGACATAAGACATGTTCAAAACGGCATCATATTACTTCCACGTTGGCATACTTAACGGTGACTCAGCAAAGTAACGGTCCACGTGTGCTCCGTTAGTTGGGCCGTCAGATGCCAACTAACGGAAGGACGAACGTGACCCTTTTTTTCAAATATTAGGGACTAAAATGAGCCTTTTTTATTGTTCGGGACTAAAATGTGCCTCGTGAAAATTGCCAGAGACGAAAAAGAGCATTTACTCAAAAAATTATTTGGTCTTCCTGTACCTTTTTAATGGAAGTATCTTCCATTTGATCCACGTTTCTCAGTAAAACCTTTACCGATCCTCCCCTCACATGACCAAAACTAAACCACCTTAGGCAAATTCAAATCATATTTTCCTCAATAGATACTACTCTAACTTTCTCTCAAATACCTTCATTCCTCATCTAATCTTGCATGTCCATTATTCATCTGAAAATTATCATCTCCTCTTCACTTAGTTTTTTCTCTTGTTAGTACTTCCCTGTCCAACGTTCACTACCAAAGAGCAGTGCTCTTTAGTAGATGTCCCGTAGAACAATTCAGAAGCAAACCTGAAAAATAGGCAACTACACTCTAGGGCAGAGAATAACTATAGATTGAAAAATGGAAAATAAGGATAAGATGGACTGGAAACATGAAAAATGAAAAAAAAAAAAAAAAAAGTAGTGTAAAACCCAGGTTTTCTTTCAATCAGCAGAATGAGGACATTCCAAGACAATAAACAATTAAAGCTTATAAGGAAGAAATATTGGAAAATACACAAGATGCTGACTAAAAAAAAAACAGTTTTTTCTGTATCTTTTGGGCATGAAGTTTAGATGTTACTTGTTTATACATGAGCATACTACAATAAAACGTGCATACAGTTATTATCCGTAACTACTAATTAACTTAATGTAAACTGCTCTCAATTGTTAGTTAATATACTATGTGATTTGAAGCCGTGGGAGTTGATTTAGCAATTTTGACAGGATGTTAAATTTTTTGTTTTCTTTAAAAAATAAATAAAAGGGAGCGAACCGGAGCAGTGGTAAAGTTGTTCTTTCATGACTAAAAGGTCATGAGTTCGAATATAGAAAACAGCCTCTTTGCAATTATGCAAGGGAGTATTTTTTTTTAAATAAATAAATAATTAAGACAACGTAGGTTATAATCAGAAAGGAATGTGATTTTCTGTGGGAAATTAGTTGTAGATGTAGCATAAACTTTAATATAAAACGGTTTAGCACACAAATTCCGAGCAACTGCCACAAGTCAGACGGACTTCAATTAAAAGAATCATAAATTGATCTACCAAGCAATTGACATGCACATACCTGAAAGATTGTTAAAATGGGAACATGTCTGAGCAAAATAGTAACATCCATCCTATAATGCCCATAAGCAGACAGTTACCTAGATTTCAATATCCCAAAACTAACTATTCTGACATTCTCCTGATCAAGTATACAGATTCTAATTGAAGCAATTTAATTTACAACTGAACAAGCTGATCTGGGTTTTCTAAAGATTCCCTCAGAATTTTCTCGGCTCTCTTTTGCCTGTCATCCTTCCCATCTTCCATTGTAAACCACGGTAAAGTCTTTTTATGCTCCTCTTTTTGAGGAATCAAACCAATGGACCTTCCTAAGAATTTGTTTTTAATTCCAATCTTAAAACGCACAGCAGGCTTCTCATTCAAACGAAATTTCGTCTGATCTTCCTTGGAATGACAGCATGTGCTTTTCATTGCTTCAATTGCAGGAGCAAATGTCTCCAATACTGAAATGGGTTCATTTTCAACAAAATTTTCCACAACAGGCTTGTCAGAAGCTACACCATTAAAGAGCTTAGCTGGAGGAGCAACAGAAGCAATTTCCTTATCCTCAATTCTCAAAGGTGCAGCAAGAAACGGGTTCCTTTCCGCTGCTACTCCTTTAGCCTTAGCATCTGCAGGGTCGATCAAGGTGGACTTTTCAAACATATTTGAGACCATATGCTGCTGCAAATTTAACAGAGGCCGCTCCCCCTTGCCATTCTCTCTTTCTTGCTCAAATTTGGTAGCATGAGGTTCTTTCCCTCTTCCATTCACTGTAGGTAACCGTGAATAAGTTTGTGGATCAGGGAATGCTGGCAACCAAGCAGGAATATGCTCCCCAGGAGGCTCTTCTCCTCTTTGCAAAAAACTAGGAGTCAGCACCCGTTCTTTCACGACTGGAAACCGAGGAAAGGGGTGTGCAAACAGAATTGGTTCAGCATCATTAACAAAGTGAACAATTTCCCGAATAATGCCCGAACTTACAAGGCAATGATCAATATCCGAGGCACCTGTAAACCCCTGTACTGATCCCATATCTTCTAACCCTTGAATGACATCAAAAACATTGCATTCAGCTCTACCAGCAAGATTAGCATAGTAATGTGCAGACTTCCCAACGTTCAAAATATACCGAGCAGCAACGTCAGATAATGCCTCGAGAGCTGACTGCTGAAATGCCTGAAAACCCTGACTCTCACATACTTGTGCTACTGCAATCTTTGCAATTGCTTGGGCAAAATCATCACCACCACCCACTTTTCTCCTCCTGCATGTGGTAGGCTGTTCAAGCTGTCTTCCAGTCTTCCCACCACCATTGCTCATATTCAGCACTTCATATCACTTGAAAATCCAACATACATTCCCCAAATCCCTATTATTCCTCATCTTTAAAACTCACCGAGAATCAAACCTCACCAACGCCACCTCTGAGATAATCGTAATAAAAAAAAAAAAAAAACTGAACTTTAGGTCACACAGAACTTGAGCTCAATGCAAAGGTCATAATTTTCACGTTTCCAACAAATATATTTAATTAAGCAAGAACCCTAACTCATCCCAATTCGAGTGAAAAGATTCAGAAATGAAAATCGAAGAAGGAAAGAAAAAAGCTTACCATTGATTGGATCTGAGGGATGGAGGGAGAGACTATCGCTTAGCAATTTCGAGGATGATGAGAGTGAGTGGAAGATCGAGAGAAGAAATTGGGAAATTTAGGGTTTGGGTTAGGTTTAGCTTAAACCCTCGCAAACCCTTCGATCAATGGTAGCAATCGAAGCAGAGGGACACACTCACAGGAAGAGGGAGAGAGAGAGAGAGAGAAGTTGAATTTTGGAAGGAGGATTATGCTCATGGACGCGATGCGATTTTGAGATTTGAACCCTCTAATAAATTAAAATTAATTGTGGAAATTGAAGTTAGAATAATCATGAATATTCCTCCACAGACGCCGTCGTTTTTTTGTTAAAGATACGGGCCAATCAACAATTACAATGTCACAAACGTAGTATTTGAAAGGGCGGAGTCGTTTTAATTATGGGAAAATAATCTATCTTTGAAAAGTATATAAACTTATATTATTTTAGATTTTAATCGTTAATTTTCGTCCATCAACAATTATAATTTATTATGTCAAATTTAATGGGTTAAATTTATTATTTATTAATTAATAATTTTGATCCAATAAATTACTATCATTGATGGACGAAAATCAACGATTATAATCTAAAATGATATAAGCTTATATTCTTTAAAATGAAAGATGTTATTTCCATTAATTATTAATTTATTGGAAATTATTAATTAATTAATAAGTGTGATCCAATAAGTTATAATTGTTAGATTGATAAAAATCAACGGTTAAAATTTGATAGTAAGAAAAAAAAAGTAGTAAGTATAACCTTTCCATAAGGAGAGTTACATTTATATAATTTTTTGTTATAAAATTATGGGTTTGATATTTGACCTTTTAAAGGACATAAATTATTTCATTTTAGGAGAGAGATAGATAGCGAAGCACGGACATGCTAATTTTTGTAAAAATTGCGTGTCGGAAACCGACACGCTCCGATAAGTTCTGACAAGCGTCCGACATGCGATCAACATTTTGGAACATGTGGTCAACTCTCTCCGACACATTTCGACGCAGTCAACTTTTTCCGACACACAGTCAACGCTCTGACACATTTTTTTTGGGTCTTAATTTTATTTTATTAACTAAATATAAAAAAATAATTTATAAATCAATTTTTTTCTTTTATGAAATTTGACATGAAAAATTAACAAGGTACGAAAAATTATTTTTGTTTATATTTATGTAATGAAATTTGAATAGTTGATTGATTATATGACTTATTATAGGTTGTTATATGTATTAAATATAAATTATATTATATAAATTAAAATATTATTTAATATCAAAACGTGTCCCAATGTGTCGAAATATGACATTTTTTAGAATTAACGTGTGGACGTGTCGTGTCGTGTCCCGTTTCAGTGTCGATGCAACATAGGAGATAGACACAAGAAATGAAAATCACGAGAGAGAAAGTAGATGGTTTTTTTTTAATTTAAATTTTAAATAAAAATATATTATTTTGTGTCTACCTCTCTCTTATAATATATGACATAATTTTATATTATTTAAAATGACAAATGTTTTTCCCTAAATTTAATTATGCATTTCGAGAAATACATATTTAGGTGTTTGTAATTTTTGGATTAATACATAGTTAAGGTTGTAAACAAATAGTTTATAAATATAATATTTTTTATTAATTTTAATAATTTTCAAATTTATTGTGAATATTTATTACAATTTTAGTATTTAATTTTACAGTTGAATCAATTGATAGTTATAACTTTACACTTTATTTTAAAGTGCATTTTTCACTTTAAAAGTGTCAAATTCACCAATGTAAACCAAAACAGGGAAAAGCAAAATCAAATTAAAAAAAACGTCATGAAAGGGGGAAGACTAAACAAAGTCATTCAACTTTGTTTTATGTGTGATTCATTTACTTCCTAAAGTTTTAATTGACATAATTTATGTGTACTTTTTATTTTAAAATATGGGTTAATAATGAAAGTATTACAATAAATGGAAAAATTAAGAACAAACATAACTCTTGAGATATATAAAATCATTAATGTAGCTTCACCAAATAGCTTAAGCTTTTGGGTTGAATTGGTTCTTTACATGATTCTCACCGCCCCCACTTTCTTTCAAGTGGAATTTTTTTGTTCGCACAGGTAGGTGGGCTTGTGCATTGTCCACCCTTCAAGCCCAGTGGACTTTCGTGTGAGGGGGCGTGTTGAGATATATAAAACTATTAATGTAGTTTCACCCAATACCTTAAGGTTTTGGGTTGAAGTAGTTCTTTACAATACAACATAAGTTTGTTGGATTAATTTTGAAAAATCCGTCATAAGATAATAACTGGAGATAATTATTAATATCAAATAAAGGAAATGAAATGAGGCATAGTTAATTCGTTATTCCAACTTTAATATTGTTTGACACATCGAATGATGCGAAAAATTTCACAACCGCGAAATTACTGTATATCACGATGAAATCTTAATTTGTTGCTTAATTTATTATAGGGATCAAACATTCCTTAAATTTGTATGGTTCTTTCTTGTGGTATATATTGACCAATGAAAAATGGGGAGGGTTGAGGGCAAGGCAATTTCTTGCAATATGAAGTATGAACAAGGCAAAACAGTATGTTACTAAAACCTTATTACATAAACCTTGATTGGTTTTGACATAGTCACATTGAACTTTCAAATTCAGGGCCAGATGATTTTAAACTTCTATTAAACTTTCGTATATACCCACTATATATTCAGGGTCATCATCCCATGATTTACTTGTATTGATTAATATGCATTATAATCTCTAAAGCTTATTGGATTATTATTATTTTCACGTACTCAAACTATGTTTTGAATAAATACACCTCTATATAACAAATGGATAATTATTAAAAAAAAATGATACAATAGAGATAGAGAAAACAACACCAAATGAAATCTAACTATGTCAACAAAGAGTATTACTGCATTACTCATCATTTTTTCGGAGTTTGATACTTAAGCTGATTTGCCAAATATTTTATTGACTATTATTTATATTTAATAAACAATTATTTTGAAATCAATAATCAATAAATACTTAAAAATTCTCTTTAGGTATTATATCTACGACCATATATATATATATATATATATATATATATATATATATATATATATATATACCATAACATACTATAGACGAATACTACATGTAAAAACTGTTTAGTACAGTAATGAAAATCTTGCACTTGCCTAATGAAATTCCTCTACCATTTTTAAGTGGAAAAAACTACGATGCGTCCTCATATTATTTGGACTTCAGATTAATATATAATCTTTATTCGTTTAATTTTAAGTGGATTCTAAACTCCCTATACGTACATTACAGCAATATATATTGATTAACAAGACAAATTCGAGGTAGATAGAAATATAAAATTTCATATTTAAAAATTTTAATTTTCTTTTAGGAGAGTTAAGTTTAATATATATATATATATATATATATATATATATATATATATATAATGAAGTGATTATTAATTACTGGACATTTTTTTTTTGGTAAAATTTATTGGGCATGTTTCAATTCTAAAACATTCCTAAATAAGGATTCACATTATTTAATTTAGAATGAAGTTTAAATATTTCCACTATTGTTTGTTCGAAAATCAGTTAGCTGTTAATTTTTTTATCACTACCTCCTGTGATATTTTTCCATCCAAATTCGTGTACATTTTTATTTATAGATATTATTAAGTCAAAAATACTCTTTGTAATAGTATATAAGAGAAAATTATTTCTCAAGTAGCTTGAGATATATTTATCTCCGTCTATCAAAAAATTACGTAATTTTGTTTATTTATTTCCTTATATTAATTGATTCAACTTTGAATGATGACATTATGATTTTTTTTTTCTCTCTCTTTCTTTATTGATCTATTTTTGTATGATTATAATTTAGTAGCCGGAGATAAAATTATCTTAAGCAACTTGGGAAACAATAAGCACCTAGTATATAATCCAACTTTTTTCTTCATTTTCAACCGTTTCAAACTCGTCCAAATTTATTCATGGTATTGGTTAAAAAATGTTGTGGATGGTGACTGTTTCTCCCTTGAGAAGTGGGAAATGATCACTTAAGATAATGGAATAGAGAATTTTATTTTCCATCCAAAACGCCTCTTATGATAAATTGTTAATTGAGTACACAACATAATGCAGCAGTTATCCGCGCGACGACCTATCTAGAGGACTATATATATAAGCATCAACGATAAATTGTTGAATTCCCTAACGTGGTGTTTGGTTGGGAGCTTTTCAGCGGATATCTATGTTTCTCAAGTATGGCTTTTAGAAACACCATGTTTGTTTGAACGTATTTTCACCAAAAACTCATCTATCCAATTTGTCTGGATTTATGAGAAATATATATATCCGCACTGTTTAGAAACTCAATTTGAAGGTGAGATTTTTTGAAAAACCGGTTATCTGGCTTTAATGCACTGTTGATTTCATAAAGTTACCTAATTTTCCAAATAAAGTTTTTCCCCACCAAACAACTTTTTTTTACATTTGTCTACCTATCTCACTTTATCTATCTTTCCAATCATTTTTCTATCTATTACATTTTTCTAGTATTCCAAAAAAATTTCCTCAATCAAACGCCATCTGAAGTAAAAAGTTCTGCAACTATCTTCACCATACATTCAAATAAAGTGGTGCATGCTTAATTAAGCCATAATGAAACGTCCTTGTATTCTGTTTTCTCCTTCAATTTTTATCTTATTTTCTTAATACTTTATCTTTTCATTCTCTTTCCAAGTTGATGCTTTTAAAAGGACAAGCACAGCCCGTAAGCTTTATTCAGAGAGACAAAGGATACAGAAAGGGATAAGTACTGTGAATTTCTGTCTTCTTGCTCAGTTTTTCTTTAAAGTACCAATTAGTACTATATAATATTGCGACTAATGTCAAAATATTCCCTTATCGTGCAAAACAATCTCCCTCTTTGAATTTCCTTCCTTTGGACAGCAATTGTAGATATGTTACTTTCATGTGTGTAACCTTTTAGTGACTGCCAGGGACAATATAGTCACGGTTAATTTTAAGAGACTAATCCATGGTCTTGATGCGCTGGCTAGCACAAATTAGGTAAAAAAAAATTGCTGTATTTCATCTCATAGAATAACATCAGAAACAAATTAAGGTTCACAAATGAAACAATAGTAAGACATATAGAGCAGATGACACTTCGTGAAAGCAAAAAAAAATTCCAAAAGTTTTGCGCATGTGTTCTCTAAATAGGACAACTCTCATTGTAGAAGGTAGAGTTAACAGATCAGCACATATATTCTCTTGGTTAAAGAGAGCTTATCTTACCCTTAAAAACAGTAGAAAAAATCCAAAATGCATTGAGAAAGAAAATGATTATTCAAATTAACCCTACGTGGAATAACTAATTAAAGAAGCTTTGTCACATTCCTCCTGATCCATGCATATTTTGAGAGGAGAATTTAGATAACCTTTGAATTTGTGTATCACTTGGAAGGGAAATCTTGGTCTTTGTGAGATGGGCTTTCACTGTTGTTGGGTGAATGGAAAAGTTTTGGAGTCATCATGGCCAAGCTGAAGGATGGATTTTGAGAACTTGAACTCAACATCTGATAGTGGTTGATTTGTCTAGGATCCATGTCCATTGCTGCAACATGTGAAGGGAAATATGCCTGTGTTACTCCTGGAGGACACACCACAATTTGAGAATTCCCAGTTGATAAAGACAATGTTGATGGGAAAGGTACAACATTAATGCTGTGTGTATCTGTTTGGCTTAAAAATCCATGGTTTCCCAAGTGATGAGAAACATCACCAGAAGGCTCCCATTGATAACCAAGTGGCACAGTATTTAGCAAGTCTAGGAATGAAGGATGATTTGGCAAAACATGTGCACCTGCAGGACCTTCATTGTTTCCTTGCTTATCCTCTTCACTTCTATTCATCCAGTGTGCTTTATCAGCAAGCATTTCACCTGAAACTTCTTTATGCTTTAATTTCCAAATAGAATTTTGGCTTGAACCTTCCCAATCAATGCTCCTATTGATATTAAACAGTGGTTCATTAGGCTGAGATATGCTATTAGCTTCATTTGAAGTAACAGCAGATGGAGAACTAAAGGTGAAGTTCCCTGGTGGAATATTTGGTAGTGGTGGAAGTTCATCAATTTCATGCTTAGCTGCATTGAGCAACCAATCAACAACCTTGCTTGGTTGATTAAGCCCTAGCTTATCTTGAAGATCATATAGTTGAATTGCAGTTGGTACTGATAGCCTTACACGCCTGTCTCTTAATCCTCTTATTGTGCAAACCTTACTATGTCTGTCTTTTCCTCCAAAGGCTCTTGATACTCTAACAATCCTTGGATCCTTCAACCTTGGCCATTGTGCTGAGCTTGATGATGCCTTTTCTTTTTCATCAATTGAATGACCCTCCTGTTTTAATCCAAAATCTGCTTTCTTTGGGCTCTTAATCATCTTATGTCTCTCATTGCTGGTTGCCAGGTGCAGAATTTTGTCCTTCCACTTTTGGATTGTCCAATTTCTGTTCCACCACCATCAACAATTAATATGAAAAAAGCTGCTAAATTTTTAACTCCACTGTTGGATTTGCTGCAGGTTGTGTCTCCTATATAGTATCTGCATCAGAAACCCATGAAATAAAAAAATAATAGGAAATGGGTGGAAAGTTGCTTCTCCATTAAATTTATCGAAATTCAAAACTGTTAATTAGATTCCTATAAGATATTTAAACTTCAAATTACTCCCCCAACGAAGTGGATATACGAAGAACATGCAAATGACACAGATTGCTGACATGCACCAACTAATTAATGGATACTATTAAATAATATCATATAAATCTTTGAGGGGTTTAGATAAATTTAAAAAAAAAAAACACTTGATTAATATATAATGCAGAAAATAAACTCTTATAATCATCGAAAAACATTCCTATATTCATCATGCATAAAAATTTGAATCAAGATGGGGTACAGGGACAACAATGCAACTATTTAACAAAATAATATGCAATATTAGCATATGTTTAGATCCGAAACATGTAATTAGAATTGAAATTGAGTATACCATGAAAACCCTAGTTATAGTTGAAAGATACGTATCTAGCTAGTTAGCAAACTCACATGAACGCCTACCACTATTTGATGCCACGCGCCATAAGGTAGAAGGATGAAGTTGCACCATAAGGTATAAGAATGAAAGTTTGCACTATGCTTTAGATACCAATTAAGCTAGAACAAAATTTGAAGTTTTCATTCAAGCTTGACTTGGCTTTGAATGCACAGAATAAACTTGGTGAAGAAGTTGAGCCCGCAGCTTGGAAAAAGGAAGATGCCGGAATTGAATTAACCACGCCGCACCGAAAGATAAAGCAATGGTGCATGGTTAGCCACGTGGCACATGTCTCTATTGGTCAAATAAATATGGTAGTCTACATCTTATCATTTTATGGTTAGGCATAATATAATGGACCATAATTTTCTTCATTACAATAGTTATATATATATATATATATATATATATATATATATATATATATATATATATATATTGTTGATATATCCTGAGATACAACTTTGACAAATGGTTTAAACATGTATTATACTATCTTAATTTTTGTTATGAAAAAACAGGCTTGATTTAACGTAGAAAAGATTTTACTGTATGTGTGGGCCTTAGGTAAAAACACATTACTTATATTACTACAAAAGGCTAAATAAAATTTTCACAAATGAACACAGTTAATAACCTCAAAAGGGGACCATATACATTGTTACACACTTCGAAAAGCGGCTAGTTACACTTTATCGACAACTACAAAAGGTTTTGTGACTGAGCGCGTCACATGGGGGTCCATGGAAGCAAGCAAGCCAAAACAGCATCAATTGGAAAATATTGTTCCTATAAAGAGCAAAGCAGCGTTAACTAACATTTGCATGCCTTTAACATATGAAGTTTTCCGTAGCATTTGCATCAAATTAAACACACATTGATCATGAATCAAAATTCGGACAAAATAACTTGCAAAATTATAATTTGATCGTTCCGCATGTTTCTTAATTAGTTACACTATATGATTTTAATTTATTTTTTTTATGTCCTATATAATATTAAGGATAATGGGCTCTTGATTTTTTCTAGCTCAAAAATAAAATGAAAAGGTAAAAGAAGAAAAAAAGAAGAAGAGATAAAACAAAAACACGCGAAAGCATCACACGGAGAGGATTTAGAAGACAAAGAGGGATATCCACTTTAGATAACTAAGGGTGAGACTAAAAAGTTGTGGTGTCTAGTCCAAGAGCATTGTCATGTCTATGTGTATGATAGATACTCATGGGTGAGGGACCAATTATGTCTTGATATCTTTTAAGACACCCTATGAGCACGAGCAGGACCACACAACTTTTGCAGAGAGATATGCATGGGGAGCAAGTTGAAGCTTTTCACTGAGCTTGGGATTAATCGTATGACGCATGCTTTTTTTTCAAAAGAAAGTCAATTAATCATGTGAAAGATGCAGAAAACGTACGCAAGTTTTCTTCTCCTCTTCATTTGGCAAAGACGCAAATGTGCTTTCACCTTTGGAAATGGTTTAGCCTTCACCACTCCGAAACCCTAAAATATTGACCAACATAAACCCTCTGTGAAGAAAATAATCATCATCAGAGTTTTCCTTTCCTTTGCTTAACCAGGATCGAGCCACTCAAACAAGGAGAAACCTCATTTCTCTTTCATTAGAGAATAGAAATTTTAATCAAGCTCGTTGGATGGTAAAACAATGATATATGGAGTTCTTGAATACCCTAAACAAGTCTCTTCATGTTTGCATAACTTTGAAATAAAATAAAATAAAATAAAAAACTAGACTAATATTTCGAAAGATATAGCTTTCTTTAATTTTAAAGAAAAAAGAAATTGTAACAGCCCCAAACCCTATAGCAGGATATTGTCCTCTTTTCCCCGTGCACAAGCACCGTCAAGCTCACGGTTTTACGTTTTGGGTTACCCCAAAAGGCCTCCTACAAGGAAAGGTATCCACACCATTATTTAAGGCATGCTTCGTTCCCTTTCCAACCGATGTGGGACATTACATCCTCTCCTACTGGGAATACAGCGTCCCCGCTGTACACACCGGTCCAGGGCCAGGCTCTGATACCAAATGTAACAGCCCCAAACCCCTGTAGCAGGATATTGTCCGCTTTGCCCCGCGCACAAGCACCGTCGAGCTCACGGTTTTACGTTTTGGGTTACCCCAAAAGGCCTTCTACAAGGAAAGGTATCCACACCCTTATTTAAGACATTCTTCGTTCCCCTCTCCAACCGATGTGGGACATTACAGAAATGACCCTTCTTTTTAAGTCCAACAAAAAAGAAGAAGAAGAAGGAAAGTGACTCTATTGCTCCAATTCCTTTTCACACGTATACATTACAGAAAAACCCTAAGACATGATTGTTTATGTGTGCTTATCTGAGAGAGTGGATACCCTTGCAAACCTGAAATGTTGGAGAACTATATCAGCCGTTGAAGGTCGAAGCCGTACCATTTAGACACTAAGAGAACCTAAACATTTCAAAACCATTAGTACATTTAATTCTCTATAGCTATTTAAACGGAAAAATAAAAGTCCTAACACTAAAGAAGGAAGTAAATATTATATATATCATCTCCGCCATGAGAAATTTCATGAATCAAACAAAATTCAAGAAACAATAACTGGACTATAGATTTAGCGAAGACAGTATACAAAAGGCTATCCAGTTTTGCAGTTCAGACAGCACAATATTCATTTTACCCACCATACATATATACACTCCATTAATCTGAAAAACACAAAATAAAAGGACGAATTAAGAGGAGGAGAAGTATGAAGAAAAAAGAACGATTATATGAGCAAAAGGATGAAGGTGAAATAAAAGACAAAAACGAAATTCCTACTCCTTTATGATACTTGTAGCAGAGAGAGTGGCTTGGTTGAGGGAGACAAAGAAAAATATTAAAGAAAACTGAATAGGGCTAGCATCTGAGGCTAACAGACTCTGAACAAGCAGTGGTGGGAATCTCTAGAGGGTGACTGAATAATAACAGTGTTGTGGGTAAGGGTACCATTATTGTCCAATAAATGGTCCCCAGATTCCTAACTGAAGCCCTAGGTCAGAGCTAGCTCGTGAATAATCACTCTCACTTTTATGAATAGCCAGAATGCAACAGAAGCAGAAGCAGCAGCTGCCATGTCTGTAACATTGTCTTTTTCTTTTTGTTTAAGTTTAAGCTGGAATTTCATAAGTGAGATTAAGGTCACAAAAGTTAAATGAACTTTAATCCATTATTTTCTTAGTTGTGAACAATTTGCGAGTAGCTAGATATATAACCATTTGAATGAATCAGCTGATGAGCTTGAGCTAAACTTTAATTTAATTCAAAACCTAAAAGCAAAATCTAGTTTGGCTAGGTTTCATTTTCTCTGAAAGAGTCAACAGCATGTAGCTAATTATAATTTTCATTGTTTAGGTACAAATTCAGGTCTGAAGGTTGGGTGAGAGAGAGAGGGAGGGAGTGGGGGATATCTTATTCTTCCACCAGAATTGAACTAGGGATAGCAACTTCCATTAAACAACAGTTGCCTAATCCCTTGGACCAAGGCACCACCACTACAATTATGTTACAAATTTTCAAATCGCAATCGCTGAAGGATCATGCGTCCTATATGCATAGGCAATAGGGAAATTCCAACTAGAAAGAAAACTAACCACGCGGTGAGTGGGATTATTATGGACGGTGGATTGTGGGGCTCATTCATTACTCTCATTGCACGATAAAATATCCAAATAAGATTGTGAGAAACAAGAGATGAGAGGAACATAGAAAATAAATCTGTGTACTAAATTGATTCTGTATATTGAATTGATTTAGGAGAGTATAATATATAAAGAAATACTCATGGGCTTAACCCAGACCTAACCTAAATCGTAATGAAATAAGGAAATAGATCTTTACAAATAATAAAAATATCCTAAAGATATTCTTTCCGACACTCCTCCTCAAGCTGGAGTGTATAGATCATAAGTAATAAGTTTGAATGAGAAAGACTAAAAAACATAATATCAAAATAAACAAGTGGGAGTTGTAACAACTTTACAACTCACCCTAAAGAAAAATAACAAACATAATAAATTAAAATAAAATATTATTTATATCTCGAATACTCTCCCTCAAGATGGAGGGACACTTCATCTTGGGAAGAAAGAAAACTAAAACGAAGCTTCACGGAATATAAGTCGGAGAAATCGACAGCTGGAATGACCATCAGTTTGAAGAGCTGGTAAAGAGACGACAGTGTTGGAATGGACATCAACAAAGGAAGAAAAAGACAATAGCCAAGGAAGGGCGAGATAGACATCAGCCAAGGAAGGGCCGGAAAAAAGACAATGTTGCAACTGGAATACAAGCCGACGGAGCCAGTGTAACCAGAATAATTCGCGGACCAAGCAACAACAGAGATAAATGCTTCAACTGGAATACAAGCCGACAGAGCCAGTGTAACTCAAATAATCCGCAGACCAGACAACAACGAAGATAAATGCTCCCCCTGAATGGGAGGCCAAAATAAATTCAAATAGTGGCAAAAAGAAATCAAATACAAGTCAAATCAGACTTGAATAACACCACAAACATATGTGGGAATAAAATAAAATTGGCCAAAAATACAAGCCATAAAAGAAAATCAAAATAAAAATAATAAATCACTGAAGAAAAAGAAAACACAGTCAGAAGAAACTAAGAGAAGCAGAGAAAGAGAAAAAAAAAAAAGGGAACAGACGGGAAAGTCAATCCCTCACAGAAGCATGATATCTCTCTACTACCATATTAAAATTATAAAAAAGAGTACGGAAAGGCGTACAAGGATTCCTCTCGTTAGGCTCTAATACCATGTTGAGAAACAAGAGACGAGAGGAACATTGAAATAAATCTTATATTGAATTGATTCAAGAGAGAACAATATATAAAGAAATACTAATGAGCTTAGTCCAAACCTAACCTAAATCATAATGAAATAAGGAAATATATCTTTACAAATAATAAAGATATCTTAAAGATATTCTTTCCAACAAAGATAATATTCCCCTCGCTACGAATAATCACATTCTCACAATGTGATTCTCCCATCACACAACAGGTTGGTGACACCTTACCATTATGGAACCTTTCAACAATCACATGTTGGGATGTTTCTAATTCAATGCTTGGTGGCTAAGCATGCAAAGTATTTATTGGTGTATAATATAAATGTAACCAATCTCGTAGGAAGAAGGTGAAAAGTTT